AAGAACAAATTGTACTCTTATGTGGTAAAACATACATACCTGGAACATTGGCGTGATTCCAGACCCTCCAGCAAGCATCCCAAATGCTCTAACTTGGCCAGGTTGATACTTGAAACGCCCCTGGTAACCATAAAATTTCAGAGATCAACTTTAGCATGTAGGATTTATATGATTTAATTGCCAAACACATTTGAATAGCAAATAAAACGTGTACCTTCGGTCCCTTAACAGCAAGATGATCTCCAACACGCATCTCTCGGAAATGATGTGACATTCTTCCTTGAGGATACATCTGATGCAAAGAAATATCCAATACATGATACCTTTTAAAAATAACTACATGTACATTTTTCTCTGTTTCCATTTTTCAACAAAGTGAAGGTACAAGTGAATCTCCCTACAAGTTAATAGATAAATACCTTTATAACCAATTCAAAATATCCAACATCAGAATCCAATGTAGTTGGGGTATATGGTTTGATAATCTCTTCTCCTTGTGCATCCTTGCCCCTATTCGACAAAGTATATCACATAAGAAGCTACAACGATACAATCAAGACAAAAATCATCCAAACTTCCTCTTTATCGATCAGAATTTCCAACAAACATTCAGTGAATCAACCATCATGAATCAATCGTACCTGCAACTTATGTGCTGTCCAATTGGAAGGCCTAAAACTGCTGTAGGTGTTGGAAGTTCAAATTTAAACTTTGCCACATTGTGGCTCAGCTGCGTGCGCTTGACAAGTTTGAAGTCCTTGAAATTCTCCGGATCTAAGTAGCCTGTAAACATACACAATGATGTCAGGCATTTTACACATTTTAATGGTCAATGTTTAGAAAAAGGCCACACACACAATGAGTCCACCCAGTTTTGTATACCTTACATTGTTAACACACAAAACTGAAGGAAACTTGAGTAGAAGCTGCCATTTGACTACCGAGAAGGGCAAAAAGCAAAAACAAGAAGGACTAGAAGTAAAATGGTCAAATCTAGGATTTCTTCAAACTACACAAAACAGATATTAAAGATAACACATTTTCAAACTCTTCAAATAGATATACAAAACGTTTAAAATAGTCCTGCTTTTCGATGTTTGATTCGTATATTTACAAAAGGATGAAGAAAGGAAAAAGAAGAATTTGAAGATTAAGGCTTTGGTCCACCATTGTCTTCCAGAAAGTGATCCTCTTACTTTTTAAGCCATTCTACTGGATAACATATAACCCTTTTCCTTAAAATCAAGCATCAAACTTTTTTGGATACAACAATGTTCTACTTTAGCGGAAATTTTGGCTAAGCCACACAATGAGCATGCATTAATAATAATAATTAAGTATCGAACTGAACTTAAAACCTCTACTTACAGGTGACGAGAAATACTGCACTGTAGTACTAGTGACAGTGGCAAAAATCAAGCATCAATCTTAATCGAAATATGATTACCCAATGATCATTACAACTCAAACAAATATCACAAAAGAGTACATCACAAAGCACCAAACTTTTCCTACTCCTCCAAATCCATCCAGGACAAAAATCACAGAAAAATAATACATATTCATAACCCAACACTAAACACTCGAATGATCAACCATAAGTATGATCAAAGCTATGGAAACCACCAACTAATCACAAAAAATTGAAAGGAAAACAAAAGGGGCAATTAAAATAAATAAAAAAACAAACCTTTGGGCTTCTTGGAGGAGAAGAGATAAGCAACAGCCGCAATAACAACAACAGCCACAGCTACACCCACAAGGATCTGGGGATCCAGTGACTCTAAGAAATCCATATTACTTGTGGGTTTTTGGCAAAAAAATGATCTTGCTTCTTGATTTTATCAAAAGATATCAACCATATATAGTACAGTGTATGAAGAGCAGTGAGAGAGTTGGAGGTGATAGGGTGGTAGGTGAAATCGTTGATGGTGGGCTGACGGATCCGGTCTTTGGTACACCAAACGATGCTGACCCACAGTTGCAGGCGCCCATAGAAACGATACGTAACCCGGGACCGTTCTCAAAACAACGTTTCTCAATAAACCAGGGATGATATTACTCCTCCAATTAATTTCTCATGTCTTTTCCCATGCGAAATTTTGTCATGTTTTTATCATGTTATATAAAAAAATTTCGGATTAATTTTTGTTAATGGTAGGTGGACCAATTTTTAAGATTACATTTGCAAATCATATGATGTATCAGTGTCACTAATAAAAAATAAGTATGTTAATAAATATTTAAATGATAATTCAATCATTAACAACCGCGTCATATGATTTAAAAAAATGGAAAATGATCATCTCTGGATCCTCTTTATTGGGATTCGGGGGATCAATCAATCATGTCCGTTCATCGTATATCGTGCAATTAGTTTTCGTTATGTACTATTTATATTCAATTTTAAATGATTTATGACTTCACGATATATGATAAATGAACATGATTAATTGATCTTTCGGATCCTCACAAAGAAGATTCAGAGAGAATCTTTTTCCTTGTTGGATAGTGGGATATAAGCCTCTTTGATTTGAATATAGATATTGTTATAGAGTTTAAAGATGGAGGGTTAAAACGGGTTATAAATTTGAATCTAAAATTCATGTATTTACTCTTTTCTCTAGACGAAGATGAATATAAATCTGATTTAGAATGGAACAATTATTTTAAAGGTCATAAATGTAAAAGAGGGAGAGTACCAATGAGAGCTTTCATAGCTGATTAGTTTTAGGAAAAAAGAGTCTCACAATTGGACACTCTGTTAAAAGGGTGAAAGGTTGTTCCAACAATTTTTAGTTGATTCTTATGCAACGCTTGAAGAAAATTAATTGGATTATATTAGAAGGAAAAAAATGAGAAGTGAAGTTTATAAAAGTATTTATAATAGAATCTCAAGGGGTGACAATGATGCCAATAATGTAAGACAAAGAGTGATAGTAGCTAGCTTATATACCAGAAGCCCTGAATATTTGCTTAATAATTATCAGGATGCTATAACTATTTACATATAATATGGGCATTGTCACATCCCCGCCCGGGCGGGACGACTTCCCGGGCCCGCTCCACCATCGTAGCACGATATTGTCCGCTTTGGGCCTCGACCACGCCCTCACGGTTTTGTTTTTGGGAACTCACACGAGAACTTCCCGATGGGTCACTCATCCTGGGAATGCTTTCACGCGCTACTCGCTTAACTTCGGAGTTCCCACGGAACCCGAAGCCAGTGAGCTCCCAAAAGGCCTCGTGCTAGGTAGGAATGAGAATATACATTTAAGGATCACTCCCCTGGGCGATGTGGGATGTCACAATCCACCCCCCTTGGGGGCCCGACGTCCTCGTCGGCACACCACGATCAAGGTTAGGCTCTGATACCAAATTGTCACGCATATCTGATTTGTTTAATACAAATCAAAAGATAGACTTATCATGTGTTACAAAAAAAAATATAGACTTGTCATTGTTTCGAAGGTGTTTAAAACAAAGCTTACTTATATCAAATCAGGAAATTTTTTTAGAAAAGCTGAAGCAGGTAAATACAAACTCTGCACTTCTACTTTTCTCTATTTATCCTCATTTAAAACATGATAGAACTTATCTCTTATTTCTTATTTGATCACAAATAGATGTTTGTATCATCGAATATCAAAATAAAAAGAAAAAGAAAAAAAAAAGAATTGCCTCATTCTCACATGCTGATTTAGTTGAAACGAGCTTACAAATGCTTTTTCTTAAAAATGTTGCACGAGTTACGAGTGGTGGCAAAATATAGAACATGTGGTGCCATGGGTCGAACATGTTATGAACTTATGAGTGGTGGCAAAGTATGGAACATGTGGTGCCATGGGCGCAACATGTTTTCCTGTAGCCCCATATGCTATGTGGTACAAACAAAGAAGTACCAAGCACAAATGACAGCACAAATGTGGGAGCACATGTCCTGGTTTATCTGCCCTTCCACTTCCCATACACTTTCATCCCCTTCTATTTGTGTAGTTCTGATTAAGTTACGTTAACATTTTATATTACTTTTATTTTTTATCTTATTATCTCTATAAAAAAAATCAATATAAAATCTTAACGTGACTTAACCGTGACCGCACAAAATATGAGGAAATGAAAGTGTATGAGAAGTGAGAGGGCAGAGAAGTTGGATCTGCACATTTTTCATCCAACTAAAGATAATTAGACGTCATGGAAAATTTTGACCTTAACTTTTACTAAATTTGTTTTTAATCTCATTTTACTTTCTAAAACTCAAAAGTCGTCATTTTATTTTATAAAATTCAAAATTCGCTCCACGTTGCCTTAATTATGTTAATTCCATTATGTAGGCTATTAACTCATAGTGGAGATTTATAACATTTTCTGTTAATTTCGTCATTTTACTCTACAAAACTCGATTTTAATATTTTTTTTTCATTGTTGAATGTTAACACATAGTTGAGATTTATAATCAAATTCATTGGCATGAGACACAGTCTTGTTGAATGGTGGGTCCCACATATGTTTTAGAGGGCGAACTTTAAAGTTCAGGGAGAAGAGAACGTCGACAAGTCAAGGTGAAAATTACTTTTAAGTTTCAAAGAGTAAGGACTCATTTGCAAGAAGCATCAGTTATGTGCTTCTTTCAGAAAGCACTTTAAGTGCTTTTCCAAGATTTACTTCCATTTTTACTAAGGATTGGTTTCAAAAACATTCTCATCACAAATGCTTTCAGTCATTTTGAAAGCACATACAAATGACCTCTCAAGTGGTAACTTTTGAGTTTTAGGAGGCAAAATGAGATGAAAATTAAGTTTCAAGAAATGTAGCTAAAAATAAGCCAAATTTTGAGTTTCAAAGAATAAAATGGTGACTTTTAAGTTTCAGTTGGCAAAGTAAGATCAAAATTAAGTTCCAAGGGAGAAGAGAGTCCACAACTAATTGCCCTCACCTAGTGTTCGTCCGTGTCTCAACATGAAAAATGCATTTAGCTCCAATCTGGACAATTGCATAACTAGAGGAAATGTATACCTTTATACACTGTTTGGAATGCACCCAAAGTTTTGTCCAAGGCAACCTATGAAAAATACAACTATGCAAAAGTATGAAATAAACAATTATCTCATCTTCCAAAACAACAAAGAGGAAGTCCTTTTTGTGATTTCTCAGTTACCATCTCTTTCCTTTGCTGGATCAGAGCTTACAATAGGAAGATTTTTTCTGTATTGTGGAGATGTCAGCCTCCTCTCCAACGGCGTTTTCCGCTTGCTGACAACAAACCTATTCACCCCTTTCCGCATTGGCATTATTGACGGGAAATCTTCATCAGGAATCTGACTCAGCTCTGAGATGTCTTTTATCTGCGCAACGCGCTTGAACCATCTCTCCGCCTTTGCCTCCTCTGACATATCTAAAGGATCTGGCTCCTTCACTGCTGACCCCTCCAAACTTTTCCCGGTCCAGCCCTGCCTAATGTTCTGATCATTGGACTGTTGCGGTGGATTCCATGTTGAACTTGCTGTCTGGTTAGAATTCTCTTTCCCTGAAGATCCACTGTTCAAACTATCCGTGCTGTTTGGGCTAGAATTAGCAAAATTGCGGGCAGAATCCTTGAGCTGACTTTGTCCCGAACTTTCTGAGTTCCAGATTGGCACACTGCTTTGCTGATTTTTCATCTGTTGAACGTGATCAGCATTCAGCTTCCCAGATCTAGCATCAACCATATTGTCTGAAGGGTTGTTATCTGGGATCATAGTTGTAGTTGTTTCATCAGCAGTCTTATTAGTCAAATCTGTCTCTTCTGTCTGCTGGTTGTTTTTTTTAGCAAAATAGTCGGGTGGGAAGGGTACGAAGGGAACATAATTGGCATTGCCAGCTTGTTCAGTAGCTGAACGTCTCTTGTATGCCGGAGTAGTCAAAGACCGATCTTTCTTCTTGCTGACAACAAATCGATTCTCTCCTTTACGCATCGGCATAATTTCAGGAAAGTCCTCATCTGAAATTGCGCTCGCAAGATCAGTAACATCGTGCAACTCTGCAACCCTCTTAAACCATCTCTCAGATTTTTCCGCTTGATCTCCTTCGCCATCCTTGCTCCCAGCCTGTTCCGGAGGCTTCTCAGACAGCTGCACACTCTCCTCCACACTTGAATTCTCAGGTTTCCTGGCAAACTTATCCTCGGGTAATGGCACAAATTGGGAATAATTGGAATTGCCCCCATTAGGTTGTCCATACTCTGAGGAAACTGAGCTCTGCATGGAAGAGGGAGCGTCAGTTCCAACATTTTGTCTGGGATTGGTACTTGTATTATTTGATTCAGGAACAGATGCACGGCCAAGAATTTCATCTAAAGTCCGGTTGGCTGTACGACCAAGTGACCTATTCGCACTCCCAGCTTGAAGATCCTTGCCTTGATAATTGCCCTCATTATCCACGTTTCTTTGGTATTGAGCATTTTCCAGCCTCCTCTCTAATGGCGTTTTCCTAGTGCTTACAACAAATCTGTTTACTCCTTTTCTCAGTGGCATTATTTCAGGAAAATCTTCATCAGATACAGCATTGCTCATGTCTGAAGTGCTGTCTAGCTGAGAAATCTTACTAAACCACCGCTGTGCCTTCTCTTCATTAGCGGCCAGCCTGCTATCGATTTCAGCCCTATTTCTATCACCCACATTTTCATATCCCATATCTAACCTATTTTTGGTGGAACCAAGTGAGACCTCTCCAGGGCGCTTACAATCACACCTCAAACATACCATGTTTCTACCATAGTTGAAAAAATCACATCTGAGAAAGAAGTTATTTTCATCATGAATTAATCAGTAAAGGAAAAAAAATTACCGGAAAACCAAAAAAAGAGATTTAATAAACAAGCAATGCTTACTGAGGGCACTCCCACTCATTGCCAGTCAGCTGTCTCTTTGGCCGAGCCTCCTCGCACTCCAGGCATTTCATGTTTCTTGCAAAGTTCATGAAATTACACCTGCTCGTCAACAGAATCTCTTATGAACAATAAACAAAAGAAAAATAATGTGCATTAAACTATCCCTATAGCCCCGAACCATTTCATACAAAATGCATTATAATATAAATGAAGATAGTAGGCCAAAAAAAGGGACTCTACCTCTGACAAATCCAATCACCTCTTTTCATTTCAATAGTTTTTCCAAAAGGCCTAACAGATTCTCCATAGTTATCAGGGGATCGACTCTGCATTGCCCCAATAAAGTTCGAATCTGGAGCGCTAAAGCAGAGCTTGGCCATTTCACCCAACAGAGTACGAACAGATAATTCAACAATTTCTCTATTGTACAGATTGTTTCTGTCTGACGATAAAACAGGGGCACTAGCATAACTCAAAATAAATCTCATCAAATCAACCGTTTGTGCTTTATCAATGTCCAAGGCCTGTTACGGAAAAGGCAAATAGAGCATAAAAATTGACTGGGTTAGTAACTTGTAACTTTTATGTACTTAATTTAAAACCGAGAAATTAGAAGATATCCAAATCATGTAGAAAGTCATCATGGTAAAAATTTAGACAAACCACATGAAACTCAAGTGGTCTTAATGCATTTATATCAAATTTAACATAGAATAAAATTCAATAAGGCTGGAATGTTCAGTTTACAGAAAATTTTCAGCTCAACGGTCTTAACATAATAAAACCGCCTAGAGAACATCAGCTTTTGTACTTCTGTGGAACACATTACTTTCTCTGGTGGTTTCGCAAAGCGCCCAACTCAGGGAAGGCCTTATATGTTTGCTCTAAAAAGTTACCGAACGCTACAATTTAAGATAGATTTCTGTAGTAAAAATGTTTGTTTGACTATATTTGTCTACCAGATTTTCTTCCTTATAGGTTTGTTGTATCTGATCAATCCAGTGTCTGAACAAACCATTTCACCAATAACAAATTCAGGAGCATTGACAGAGTTAATGAAAACTCACATTGGTATCGCCTTGGCCGAGAAACAATCTCATTCGCCTCACCGAATCATCGCCATTCTGAAACAGAAATGGCGTCCCATTCTCCACCACAACATCTAAATCCCGCCTCGAAAGCAACCTACATTGAAAACCACACACAATTCATCCGTTGGTAAACATTTCGAGACTTTTACTGATTGAGAGAGAAGCATATTAAACATTACCTCAAAAGGCCAGCTCTTTGCCTAGCGAATGCCAAGCAAACATTCGCAGCAAGCATGAACTCCTCGGGCAAATCCCGGACCACAGCGGTGAACTCATCCTGGCCGTTGGTTCCGTTGTAGCCGGCAGCGGAGAGGGAGTTGAGGAAGTGGGACCACTCGGGCCAGGGGTGCGAGTGTCTTAAGGGGGCGGAATCGGCATAAGAAGGGTAGGCGGCGGAAACGGGGAAGTGGGAATGGGAATGGAAATGGTGAGAGGAATTGGGAGGGAAAGGGGAGGCGGAGGAGGAGGTGGGGCGGGAAGAGAGGGAGTGGCGGTGGGAAAGGAAAGAGAAGGAGGACGAAGGGAAGAGTGGGGGTTTGGAGTGGCGGGAAAGGAGGAGGAGAGAAGGGAAGCGCTGGACAGGGTGGGTGGTGGTGGTGGAGAGCAGGGAGAAGAATCGGTTGCCGGCGCCACCCATTTAGAAGTGGCGTAGCATGGGAGTTTCGCGGTGGAGCGGGAGATGATAAACCCTACTTGCTTGGGGTTGGGGATGGAAATGTGGTTGCAGGAATAAACAGCTTTTCTGAGGTTTCTGATTTTTTTAATCTTTTGGATTCTTAATGGGCCCAAATAAACAACAAAAGTAAGCCCAATATAATTCTCCAATTAAAAGAGGGATGCAACTTGGGCAGGATCAATTCGAACTCAACCGAAACTTAACTTGAACTCAATCGAAACTTAATTAATTCGAGGCGTTAGAATTAGGTCAATACTTGCTCGTATCCAATAAATTTTTCCGATGGGTAGAGATAGAGTCAAGTTCTTCTCCTCCATAATCCAACCAGATTTCTAACTCGAATGTTTATTAGCCACATGTTCAACATTTGTATAGATATGATGACACTACATTATAAGTAAAGATGGTGAGTAAAATGTACTCATTAAATTGAGACCTCAATTCTTTTTTTTTTTTTCTTAATTGGGGTTGAGGAGAGGAATTAGATTAAGCTACATAATAAATTATATTAATTAGATATCTAACTCATCATTCTCATAAGTTAGACCTAAGACACTTGAGAAGAATAATATTAATCAACTGTAGTAAATTAATACCAGTTGTTCACAAAACAAAAAAAAAATTAAAAGTTAACTGAGCCAAGGTCAAGCCCAAGCCCATAATTTGAATGAAGGCTAGTAATTGGGCCTTGGTGTTCGTCAATTACACTAGTAACACTACATGGCCAACTCCTTCGAACCCACATCAAAAGGAGCCAAAATACAAAATTTCCAACATATAGAGGTGATCCAATCCAGCTTGTTTGAAATGAAAATTGGCAGCCACACAAAAGATACAAAACAAATTGCTGTTGATGTATCATGTTCATGCAGATGACACTTTACTGCAGTGATGAAAAATAATCATGCATATGCATTCCAATGTGAGTTCTTTCCCACCTATCCCCTCCTCTATAACAATTAACAATTTAATCTACGTTTTTCCAAAAAAAAAACAAAAACAATAGCTTAACATATTCCTTACATTGTTGACCGAATTCTTTTCCAAATGTCTTCAAACACAATGACTTTATTAGGTAAAGTAGGGAGGATACTTGTCGGCAAATATATCATTCTCGTGCAAACATATAGATCACTAAGTGATGTCAAATTTAAATAATAATAGAGCTACATTCTCTTGGTCATTAGGTGACTAAAAATTTACAGTTACTTATTATGAAATTTTATACTAAAAATTAGAGATTAAAAACAAAAGCTCATCCATTAATTCTTCATTATCAATATCAAATTCACAGTGAGTATTATGCATTATTTGATCATCTGGTCACCAAAACAACATATCGGATGAATATTATTATAGTCAACATATCGGATGAATATTACTATAGCATGGAAGTTGAGTTCATAGTGGTTTTGGGGGTTTGTCACATATTTTTTTAGTGTGTTAATTCCTTTGCAAAAGGGGGAGTAGTCAAAAAGGGCAGTTTAGTTGCAAATGGTGATGCCCCAAAGCCGCTTTTTCTTTTGGTTCAACAAAGGCTGCGATTGGTGTCCTTTTTTGGCTACAAAAGAGGCAAACCCCCAACCAATCTCAAAAGGTGTCACTAACACACACAAGTACCACCGTCTTGTAAGTTGTGACTCTCCCTAGTCCCAAAGGAGTGCATGGTGACTGCCCATGCCTTTAGGTCATCTGGTTTTCTGAGTTGGGTTGATTTGGAGTTTGTTTAGTATGCATCTGTGCGTTGTATAATCGAAATTCTTAACAACTAGATCTTTAGTTTTTGAATTTAAGGTCGTATATTCAGCTATCAATTCTTCCAATAAATGTCATGCATCGGAGTATAGTAGAAATTTCGTAATTTATTATCATGCTCTTGTCTATTAATAGTTTTCATGCATAATCTCATTTAATGAAATGAAGACTGAATATCATTAACTAATGATTATTTGCCAAACTTTTTTGAGAAACCATGCAGATTAAACCTATGTGTATGCTCAACCAAATCAAGTATACCACTTTGTTACCCATAATTTATTTGGGATTATAAAAGCCTCCATTTTGTTGGAGAAAATCTCGAGTTTAAATTTCATAAACAACTGAGAAATGGGAATGTTTGTTGATTGATTGGTGATACCACCTGGACATCTCAGGAGCTTGTTATCATTTTAGCTAGGGCAACTATCCATCAAGTAACTATCGTGAAAACGACTGCAGGTTTGGTATATAACATTCAATAAACACATATTATATATAAAATGGATTATAATTATCCCACATTATTGAGATGAGGGTGATTATAAAATTCGAGTTTTAAGTAAATGACAAAGATTGTAGTTTTGTAACTATAAACTTTTGAATAATAATATAAAACCAAACGCTTAGTTTAGTTCTGCATAGGTATCTACGCATAACTCGTGCTACAAAGAGTAGTGCCATGGCTTCTGGCAAGTGTACAAATATTTGAGCACATCTTTGTCAACGTCTTCCACCTAAATTTGAATTATTGTGCATATAATGATTTTTTATGAACATATTTTATATGTATTAATTCGAAGGCTATATATTAATGTTACTAGATTCTTGGAAATACAATCAGGGATATGATGTGAAGAACAAGAGTCAAGAAGCTGACATCTTGGTCGTTAGCTTGGCCCATAGTTTACATTCATATATGATCTGTCATCTGAGATTGTGTAACTCTAATTAAACTAAAAATATTCATCTAAAAAATGGAGGTTTAACAAAACACTCTATGTACTGTTTGCTTTTAAAAAAAAATCGCATTTAAATTTTTTTCTAGTACTATTCACTATATATTTAAAAAGGGTTTTTCATTAAAAGAAAATTTTTTTTGGACTTTTTATTAGTTTTCCTTATAAAAATTTGATCACTAATTTAACTAACATGCTTGGTTTTGTTGACCTATATTGACTGATAGGAATGCCATGTCATATTTGATACAGTTCATCATTCGAGGATCAATCACCTTCATATAAATTATCATTTTGTAGAGAGAGTTCATAAAAGGGATCTTTGTGGAGCCATAAATAATCTCAAAAATCTTTAAAATGACATATCTTTTTTCTGAAGAAGACAAGATTACCCTCATTGCATGGGCAGGGCACACAAATATTCCCACGCGCAGATTAGCATCTCTAGATGTCCAAGCAGCGGATGACGACTGCTCAAATCTCCCATGCTCGTGGCGTGGAAAAAGTGAAAGGCATTAAAGATAAGATTAATCACCAAATCCTATCTTTAATAACTCCACAATTGAAGATCAACTCAATCAAGTAAGGAATCCTATCACAGTCGAGGATGCTCCATCATCATCCCAAGATATTATCTCCTAATCCAAAATATTAACCTCATCCATCCTACGGATGACACAACCTTGGCCAATGGGAAGTTGCCAGGTGTAGGGCAAAACCCTACACCTGGGCCGGTTACCGCCCTATAAATACCTCATCTCCACCAAATCTTGGTAAGCTTTTTGCTACACATACAAGCCATAAACACTCACTCTTTTTAGAGATATTGACTTAGGCATCGAAGATCCACTATCCAACCCCACCCCTCCCCTAAAACACCTTGTGGGCGACTGTGGCTTTGGCTTTGATTGAAGGTGTTGATTGTTTTGTAGGTACACATTCGTCAAGATTGAAGACGACGGATTTTTGCTGCCACAATCTTCATATTAAATACTAGCCTACTGATGAACAGACTATTGATATGTTAACTAAAGGACTTCATAGTCTTACCTTTGTTCGAAATTGTTGCAATCTTAATCTGGTTACCCTAATTGAGATTGATGGAAGATGTTGACCTATATTGACTTATAGGAATGCCATATCATATGCCATGGCATATTTGATAAGCTTGTCAAGTCATAATAGGATTAGATTATGATAAGATTGCCATGTCATCATTAGTTTGGATAGGATTTGTTACATTGGCTTATAGTGTAAGAAAGGTAGTTATCCTTGTCCTAGTAGTGAGTACAGAGATCATTTTGTACTACTGTTGTATTGAAGCTAATACACAGAGATTACTTTTGCTTCGTCAAGCTTTCTCTTTGTTCTTCTTTCTTTTATGCCATACTGTCAAGAGGTTTTATTTCTCACTTGACACAATAATTTAATGATATTTTTTTTATTGTAAATAAATATGTAGTTTTAGGTTCGATTTTTTGAATGACGAGTTAGATACCAAATCACTGTTGGTAATCTCTTATGTGACTTGCCTGAATTTCTTACCCTTTTATATAACTATATCGTTGTGAAGAACCATGCATAGTTTTATCGTTTATATATGCAGGCGACAAGTTCGTTAGAAATGGAATCGATTCAAGGACATCTGAAAGGTTGAGAATATCGAACATATGCATATTTTATTCGTAAAAACACTCGAACATATGTATATTTTATCAAGAAGGTGTAGGCTCTTGTTAAGTAACCACCTAGATCTGTTAACCTGTAAACATCTTGGTGAGTATATTGAAGCCAAGTTTTTATCTTGTTTTATCGGCGAGTATCTAACACTAGTGACAATGTCAAGAAAAATGGCCTACATTGGAATTAAAGTAAGTTTCTAAATATATGAAACAACATAAAATGATAATATTTAACAAAGCAAGGGGTACACATACAAGTCACAACATAAAATTTTATACCCGAGTTTTAAGTACGGAGATGCCTTTTTTCTATGGTTATGGATGCTTCACTAAATTACCTTATTCTTTAATACATATAAATAGAAGATAGAGTAATGATAGGAGATTACATGTACAACATGATGTGGCAAATGATACACAACCAACATTCAATGAGATAAACTCATTAATTAATATGATGTGTCATGTCACTTGCCGCATCATGTGGTATACAAATAAATATATAACACAAAAATGTAGTCTCACTAGCATTTTCCTAAAAGGTACAGATGTACAGTATTTGGCTCCTCCTTTTCAACGTTCCAACCTAAATTTGAATTTCTTATGCACATATTTGGCTCTTTGAAATATTTTCTTA